CTACTTCCAAAGTCATCCTAATGACTGCATCCCAATGTGATCTCACCCATGGGGAAGCCAGAGAGAAATAATGTATCCCATATAGATCTTCAGAAATGTTGCTATTTGAACTACTATTTGCAGAATCCATCAGGTAGCTTGGACTCAGGGAGTTGCTACCCAGACAAAGCCTTTTCCTGATATCTATTCCTACTTGTAAAAAGGTCTCTACCCTGGATCAATTATTTCACAACTATACTGGTCTCCTAGTCTACTTTGAATTTAAATCCTATTTGCTGTTCTTTGGGATAGGTAAATGTGTTTCTTTTTTTAAACAGTATTTTCAATTAGCCAAAGAAACCCTATTTGAGATTGAAACTAACTTATGAATAGCATCTCATCTCAGAAATGTGGAAGCTGAGTCAGAATGGGCCATCAGAAAGTCCATAACGATTGGCAGCCTGCAATGAAATACTTTTGGGTGCTCAGATAATAGTTCTGAAGTCAATATGCCAAGGCAATGTAAAGGTCATAATTTCAGCTGTACAATTTGTCTCCTGGAGTTTCATTACTCAGAACCGACAAGGTAATACTTTCCTACTTTTTTCTCCCTGGAAAGAAAACTAAAGATTATTCCATGTTCCAGTCATGTTTCACACAGCAGAGAAGGGCAGAAGGTTGATACATGGCTTTTTATAGGTTGTGCTACTCGTTATATAGTTATAACCCTAATATAGTTTGTTGTTTTTGACCGCTATTTTTGTGAGGACTTAATTGGCACTGCCATCTCATTTGTTTTATGCAGAACACAGCACACTTGCACATAAGGCAAGTTGTTAGGAGAATTTAATGTAATTTTTAAAAAAAATCAAGATGTCACCCAGCCAGCACATTTAAATAGAAACTCTAATTCCTATTAACTTAATAGCATTGTGATTCTAATTAAAACATACATCTGAGTAGGCAAGCATGGGAACTGGTGCAAATTCCACCAAAGTCATGGCTTTTATTACAAGTTAAGTGAGTATAGGTTTATAGTCAAAATCTTGTTTTTAGATGGAGAAATGGAGAAATTTCAACTAGCTAAAGAGTTCTTCCAATTTTATGGAGGGAGGGATCACTGTCACAACAGTGCTACAGAATTCATAGCTATGAGTGTTTTGCCTTGTTTTCTTACTATCTCTGCTGTTGTGTGCCTTCAACTCATGACCCTAAGGTAAACCAATCATGGATTTTCTTGGAAGTATTTGTTTGGAAGGGGTTTGCCTCTGCCTTCTTCTGAGATCAAGCGTGTGTGACTTGCCTAAGATCACCCAGTGGATATCCATTATTGAGAAGGGATTCAACCCCTGGTCTCCAGAGACACAGCCCAATACTCATATCTCTACATCTTGCTGGTTATCTCTTAACTATCCAGTTTCACTGTATCACCTTTGGGAGGGCCTTAGAGGCAGAGGTATTAGGAACCTGAAAAAGCTCTTGTATTATTTCAAACAGATCTGGAGCTCTCGCTACTCTGATTCAGTTTGTCTGATCCTTAGAAAGGACAAAAATCTCTCCCCTAAGAGAAATTTATTGGGGTGCATTGGCAGAAATCACAGAACTCCTTTTGCTGGTTAATTAGTCAATTAACTAAGAGAACCTGTAGCTACCTTGAAATGTAAAATTGGAAATTTGGAAGGAAGCTGAGTGTTTACTTAGGGCCCATCCAGACAGGTCTAAATGATGCCTCCAGGAAAAACAAATTAATGTGGAGTAAACCGAGGTTTCCCTGGTTCATTCTGCATGAAACACCTCATTAGATCCAGAACTTTATGAAAGATCCTCGTCTAATGAGGTGCTGGGCCTGTGGGAACGGAGTCCCGGGGCGCATAATGCGTTTCCCAGGGGTCAGTTTCCACAGCCATTCCACACCTTTGGGCTCCTGGAGCCCAAAGGTATGAGACGGCGCCCACCCACCCTCAGCCCCTGATTTACCCTCTAAAACTTACTGAAAAGGTCCCTAGCCATGATGAAGCCTTTCCTCACATCCTCATGATGTGAGAAAATGATGACTGAGGAGAATCAAGGGATTTTCTTCCTAACCCCTCCAACCTCCCCAGGAATCATTTCCACAGAGGCCAGAGACCTTTTCAGTAAGTTTTATGGGGTAAATTGGGGGCTAAGGGGTGGCTCCATGCTATCTCAATTTCAATCAGGATAGCATGTATCCACTCTGGGAAGGGGACTAGAACCCACACCGAAGCGGGTTACTTTAACCCAATTCGGCACGGGTTTTAGTGATGTGTAGAAGCACTCCTAGCCTTTGTTCTATATAGGGATCAGTGACAGAGAACCTTGGCAGATAGCTGTCCAGCTTCTGTTTAAGTACTTCCAGTAAACACATCACTTGCTAAGGCACTCTCTTCCACTATCAAGCAGCTGGTAATCAACTTCCCTGCAATTTCCAACCATTATTTTAGTCCTGCCCTCTGGTGCAAAAAAACAACAAGCCTGTTCCATCGGCAGCTCCTGGGATACTGGAAGGCCTTTGTCACTTCTCCCTTTACTCCAACTCTGAGCCAAATATAAGCCATTCTTTCAAATGTTTCTAATTAGGGATGAGCAGAAAGCCATTTGAATTGATTTTACCCAATTCACATTTTCAGCTCCAATATGCAAACTGAAAAACAGTTATCCTTCTGCAAATTTTGCAATGATGTTAAATAAATATGTGTGCCAAAATGAATAGATGTGTGAATCCATCTAAAATGGATTAAGGAAAATGGCTTGCAAAAAATGCCCTATTAGGTAAAATGGCTTATGATAAATGTACATTGGGGGAAAGGCGCATAGATATTCATATGGATGTTGGTGAAAATTTTAAAAATATATACTGTCATAGATATGAGACGTAATGACCTAAGACTGGGGAAGGCAAGACTGACACAAACCTAAGTTGACAGATTCATTCGTCCCTACTCATCAGTCTCCCTGAACGAGCCAAGAAGGAAGTAGGTCTGGGCAGCAATTTGAAAGCATTAAGTATATTCCAACTGTGTTTAAAGTATTCCCTGGACAAAGAGATTGTATCTGAAAAGACATTGGCAATACAAAAGGAAACAATTGTAGAAATACACTGTTGCCTCTGTTCTTTTGTTCTGGCTCTGGTCTTACAGCTCTTCTCGTGTGGATTCTTTTGGTGTTGTGTTTTTAAAGCCCTTCCCCCCATGTTGCAATCCCAGTGGATTATATTTAATGCTGGCAGCAGCTGACAAAACTGAATCTCTCTCTCCACATTCTCCTACCTGACATGCTCCCAAAACTTCTCCAGAGCCTGTGAGTGCTTGGAGGACAGAATAGAGCAAAAGCGTCCCATTGTGTGGGCAGAAGTCCACTTGCAAAAAGTTGAAAACCTTTATTTAACATCAATTGTGTTTTTGTGGCAGGGTGGGGGAGCATCTTCATTGGTACCATAACATAAAGAAAATTGATAAACCTTGCTTTATGGCCAGCTTTACACTGTAGAAGTAATGCAATTTAACATCATTTAACTGCCTTGGCTCAATGCTAAGGAATTCTAGGAGCTGTAGTTTGGTGAGGCACCAACACTCTTGGGCAGAGAAAGCTAAAGATCTTGGAAAATTACTATTCCCATAACTCAACAGCACTGATTCATCAGAGTTAAAAAGGTGTCAAACTGCAGTGCTTCTAAAGTATAGATAGCACTCTATCACTGCCACAATTCTGAATCTGATCAGGTGGCTGTATGGAGTCAACGTAAATTTTAAAAAGAAGCATGCAGTGTCTTCACATGCATAAGGTACTTGAGTGAAATATAGGAGGGTTAAAATTATTTTGGTTGTGATCTGGAGTGTATCTAGTTTATATAGTAATTGGGACCACAACATAGAAGAAATTGTTGAACCTCACCCTATGGTTGGCTCTACACTATAGAATTATCGCAGTGTGGTATCACTTTAACTACCATGACTCCATCCTATATCCTGTAGTTTGGTGAGGAACTTGGAAATCACTGTGGGGAGAATTCTTAGCACCCTCATTGAACTACAAAACCAACGATATGTCATAGTAACATGACAAAGTGATAGTGATATCATAATTTTCGTGATGGAAACATTTTTGGCTTAGTGGCCAGAACCATGTTGTTGGGTATGTAGTCCGTGTTTTGTTCAAAATAGAGCTGCTATTAAAATGGGTTTATCACTAGAGATCTCCTGTGTACATGAATCAGGACCATAGCCAGAAAAAAAATGGGGATGGGGAGGTTGAATTTTTTTAGCAAATCATGAGAAGTAGTTCCATAATACAAAATAATTTAATTAGTATGATTCATTCTATATTTTATATATACTTAATTAAATCAATTTTCTCATCTTCATGGGGGGCTTCAAATCCCTCCCATGCCTTAGGCTTTGCCTACCAGTTGTGGGTGGGCCAACTTGGTTGCTTCCACTATATCAGCTATTGCTGCAAGTAATGACTGTGAATAAATTGTCAAAATTTGCTTGAGATAGTGCTTGCAGTTCTGGAGGGACTTGTTTAATTTTTGTTTCTTATAGACTTTGCAGGGGGATTTGGTCAACCAGTTAAAATTCATGGGTAAACCAAGTTTTTTTAACTACCTCCCCCCCCATACAGCCCTGACATGAACCTAACATAACATTGCCCAACATAAACCCATGTATATGCTAATTGTGTATTTCAACAATTTAATGTTTTCGAATATTATCATGATTTTATGGTCCATTGTCTTGTTTGTTTTTTAAATGCTTTTTCCTTTTAATTTGTTTTCAGTAATGTTTGCTAACTGGCTTGAGTGCTATTTTTTAAGTGGAAATATGAGATGAAAGTATTATAAAAATCCTTAGAGTAAAATGTAAGAAAAAAAGTTAAAGTGCTCAAGGAAGCCAAAATGAATATTTTGTTAATATAACAAAAATATTATATTACAGCCTAAAAACAATGTTGAGCTAATGTAAATGTCTCTGAAGTAAACACAATAAATTACTGCTACTCACCTTTACACAGGAGTAAATAACTGAAACAAACACTACGGTGGTCAGGATCACAAAACAGGTCAGGTAAAATGCCAGCATAAACACAGAGCTGAAACCAGAAAACACAGGTATGTGAGACATGCATTATGAGTGAATAACAGTATAGTAAGTGGCATTGACAGATGCAGGAGGAGATGATACAAAATCATTGAGAGCATTGTATAATTCCTTTCAAATACAGGTTGGGAATCTGTTTTCCAAAATGTTTGGGACCAGAAGTGTTTTAGACTTTTTTTTCAGATTTGAGAACATTTGCATATACATAAACAGATATTTTGGAGATGGGACCCACGTCTAAACATGAAATTCATTGATGCTTCATATATGTTGTTGTTGTTCATTCGTTCAGTCGTCTCCGACTCTTCGTGATCTCATGGACCAGCCCACGCCAGAGCTCCCTGTCGGCCGTTACCACCCCCAGCTCCCTCAAGGTCAGTCCAGTCACTTCAAGGATGCCATCCATCCATCTTGCCCTTGGTCGGCCCCTCTTCCTTTTGCCTTCCACTTTCCCCAGCATAATTGTCTTCTCTAGGCTTTCCTGTCTCATGATGTGGCCAAAGTATATATATACCTTGTACAAATAGCTTGAAGGTAATTTTATACACAATATTTTAAATAATTTGGGCATGACACAACATGTGTGAACACAGAGCCATAAGAAAGCTAAGCTATCACTATCTCAGCTCCCCACATGGTCAGCTTTGGATTTTGGAACATTTTGGATTTCTGAATAAGGGATGCTCAATCAGCTTGAGATTTAGAAATTTTTCATAACATATCACAATTAGGAAAACCAGTTTCAATGTGAAGAAAAAATCACAAACTTGGAAAATGGTTACAGCTACACTGAACCTGGCTAACATTTTGGATTGGATTGGTGGCCTCCAATTCCATATGACTGATGACTTTAGTACCAGAACTCTGTTATGGTATTGATGGGGATACCTCTCTGATGGGTATTACTTGAAACCATGTAGATGTATCTTGTACAATGAACTTCTCCTAAGATGGAAGAATTTAAAGTGACTGTTTGTTTACTGATGGGTCTGTGGACCATAATAAATGTTGTTGTTATATTGTTATTGATGGTGATTTGATATAAACTAGTTTTTACTGAAGAAAAACAGAAGATATATCTTCAATAGGAAACACTGTTTTGCAGGAGTGATAACTTGGAGAGTGTAAAATATTTGACTATAACATCAGATCAATCCTAAAGTTAATAATCAGCTAAACTATAAACTATAAACTTAATTAACTTGATAATGAAAGAAATTAATAATCCAGCGAAGGACTCAATTCACACTTCTTGCAATCTGTATACTGCCTTTTATTCCAAAATTCAGAAACAAATTTTCTTTCCCGTTGGTTCTGCTTAAAATGATCTAACATCTTGTACATGTTGCAATAATAATAGTTACATTGAGTATCTGCCAAGCAATGAAAACACTGAGAATAGGTAAAAACAAAAGAAAACAAAAACATAATAAAATGTGATGACTTATTTCGCACAAATGTCTGCTAATCCAAACCATTCTCACTACTCCCTCAGTTGACACTTTTTTGGATAATTAGCTTCCCACACACGAGAGAAAGAACATAATGATATTGCTAGAGATACCAGGACTCAGGGGCCCTATTTCGTAAAGACAGGGAGTATGATGTTGAAAACATTTTGTTCTGACAAAAAAAGAGGGTAGGAGAAAAAAAGGAGGAAACATACTGAAGTATTTACAAGAGTCACATCTGTATAAGTGACACACCATTCAGCAATTAATTGGTTGAATGGATTTACTCTAAGTGGGGTTAACTAAGAGGATTCCAGACAAAGTGTACCACCAGCCAACCAGTTGTGACTTCTTTCAGCAAACTCCATTCCATTTCTTCCCTTCCTCTTCGTTCCCATTTCTTCTGTTCCACACACAGTATTTTTAATGTCCCCAGGCTGCCCTTTCCTTGTTATTCTCCCCTCCTAACTTTGGGGTCCCCCCAGGCATGCTGTGTTTCATAATATTCTGGTATCTTGGACATCATAATGAAACACCTAAGTTTGCTATTTTGTATTTGCATCATATTTGCATTATAACGAACAAGGGTTATGTTTTATCCAAAATAAAAGCAGTTTTTTTTTCAATAGCGGTATTTTTAACATTGTAGCTTTGTACCATTTGTAGCTTTTCATATTTGCAGTTTTTTTTGTCTTTGTAGCATTCTAACAGTGTATAAACATTTAATATATTTTGGATACTAAAGTTGAAAAGCCCTCAATAAAAATGACATATATATGCAGTTCTTTCACACATTCCCTATTCTTAACCATTAAGTTTGGTGCTCTGTTTTGATTGAGAATGCTGACATCCTAGTGCAATTTCTTTTAGTGCTTTTGAATGGATTTTTGTGCTTCATATCTGCAAATTAGAGTGTCTTGAAAGTCTATTGGAAGACTCTAATCCTTTTCTTACCATTTGCTTTTTATTCCCCAAAGAAATCTTACCCAGTCACACATTAAAAATAAAAATGTCAAAGCGAGTTGTGAAAAAAGGGTATGTGATGGACAAATCCGAGGTCATATTTGGATTTAGAATGCCAAGTTCCTATAAAACCATCATTTATAATAAAAAAAAGTTTTATGGCCCTCTGTTTTGCAGGTCTGTGTGATCTTTCCCAGGGTTGAATATAATGCCTTAGCTCAGATGAAAAAGTCTAACAAAATATTATATGAAGAAAATCTAGAGGATTGGAACATTTAAATGAGTATTTAATGCCTATGATCAAAACAAATACCAGATAATCTCAAGCCAGTGAACAGTGATGTCCTCCACCTTCCTCAAAACCTCAGAAACTATATTTCACATGAAAAATTATCGGTTGGACATCTGAATTTTCACACCAAGAACTACAGTGTCTTGCTTTCCCTGAGGGTCAAATTGCCAACGCATAATCAGATCTCTGGCTGCGTATTTATTTTTGCTTTCAACAGCCACATAATGGAAGAAATATCTGAGCAAACAAAATCAGGAGGGGATACCTTACATTTTCTCCTGTAGCATTTCTCCCTGTTTAAACTGTCTCTATTAGCAAGAAGTTACCACTTTCCCTGAAGGGGCAAAGCCAACTTCAGATGGGAGGAGAATCTGATCAAACACCACACCTCTCAGCACTGTTTTCCCACTTCTAATTGGTGTGATTGCATTGAATGGAGAGAGAGAAATCAAGCCAGTCTAAAGGCCCTTCCACACAGCCCTATATCCCAGAATATCAAGGCAGGAAATGCCACAATATCTGCTTTGAACTGGGTTATCTGAGTCCACACTGTGATACATTCCAGTTCAAAGCAGATAATGTGGGATTTTATTAAGCTGCGTGGAAGGGGCCTAGAGGCCCTTTCATACCACACTATAATTCCACTTTAACTTTCATGGCAACATCATATGAAATACTGAGAATTGCAGTTTGTTGAGGCAGCAGATATGAATTCTTGCTGAAACACCTTATACTTACACTACAAATCCTAGGATTCAAGAGGATGTTGCCATGACAGTTTAAAGTGGAATCACAGCTAGAACTGTGCAGTGAGAAAGGGTTTTCAATTGCTTCAAGATAAGATTTCATGGCTCTTTTTCAATAACTGAAGTTTACGGCAACAAGCAGGTGATGTCATCTTCTACACACAAACCTATATTTTTCTTCGTGGTCTCTGCGAATGCACACTTGTGGAGAGACTGCGCCTGCGCGGGCTCCAACGGAA